AGCCGAAGAGCCCTGACTGATCAATCAGCACAGCCACCATTTCCACTCTTAGTAGTAGCAACGAGGATGAGTGTAGACGCAGGTTCCAGTCAGCGCGTCCTCGTCTCTCTTGCTGCTGCACCCCATGTCGTTTCCTCTGAAAAGTGGAAACAGGTTCAGGCCGCATTGCAGGCTCAGCTCCCATTGCGCAATATTCACTGGAAATCAGGCTCGCAAACATCAATACGTACAATCCAGGAGCTAAATGTAGAACTGGTTTCCCTTGACACTCCACGCGACGAACACACCCAGATACCTCTGAATATATTGGAGAAACCCTTGCTCAATCTATATGTGGTTGTGTGTCAGGTGTGTCGTCAAACCACAGGCGCGTTATATCTCAATTCACAGTCTATGACAGAATACAGATCTTGAGGGGTACAAGAACACGGTCAAGAGGCAAATCAAAGATTGGCACGCTACTACAACTATGCGCAAAAACCAAGAATGGCTCATCCTACATATCATCCGACCAGATACGCGAGCACCCTCAGGGAACTTTTTCCAGCTGAAAGGCTCTGTTTTGGAAAAAATCAAATCAGATTTCAATACAGAGAAAAAGGACAGGTACGCATGCTCTTCACTGGTTAGATGCATCTCTCTGACTCGAACAGGTGTATTCAAGTTGCATGGTCACCCGAAATTGAGGCTCCCGCTGTTTGGGCAGAAGTCGTCAACAAAATAAAAGATGGAGTGCTTGCTGCTTTTGATCTGGCACTAATTCAAAAACAAGAGGAGGTCCAGCGATCTCAGAGTCAGCGGGAAATGCCTGGTTGGAATTTCTGCAACTTTTTCATCTTGAAGGTCCGTCGGTGATGATCCATGTCTTCTTGGGTTACTTAACCTAACACAGGAAAGCCTGGCAAGTTCCTTTGAAGGCGTGACACTTTTTGAAGACGCATACACACAATACGAGGAGCTGGAGACGTTGTTCTTTCACGTTCTCAAGGAGGATAACCTTTCATGGTTCGGAAAACTAATCACACCCGCTGCTGGAGATGATTCGGCGCCCCTCTTATCCGTTAAACGGAAACCCTACCGTGATCTTATCTTAAGAAATGCAATCTCCATCTTTGACTTCCGCGTATATCTTCTCTCGCGCCAGTCCGAACTGCTCGCACGACGTGGGCGTCTGAGTGAAATCTGCAGGAAAGTTGCTACATTTTTTGGGTCACTTAGCCGACGTTTGCGAATGGTAGAGGTCAGCCGCCGTATTGCTTCAAGTGGTTTTGTGATTGACACTCTCTAGGAAACGTTACCACAATTTTTCATCGAATCCTGGATTTATTCATCTTCAATTAGCGTTGTAGACTACTGCGATTACTGGGCTACTAGATTCCACATAACTGGCCCTAAGTTGAATGCGTTCAATGCAGCAAAAGGCGAATTGCTTGAACTGGCTCGGACACAGGTAATTACTTCTCTCGCTCCAAAGAATCTACTAATACATGCTCAGCTTGATTCTATTGGAACTGCTGTCGGACATCTGCCACAACGGCCGCCGTTTTCATTTTCTTCTAGATCGTCTACGACGTCTGGCAATACCAGTTCGACGTTTACCATCAGCAACACCGATATCATCACATCTATTGATAATGCCGAATCGTTCTATAAGCTTTATGTTGATGCTACAAATCGTGCGATAGAACTGTATACGAAAGCAGGTCGACGGAAATTCGCTCTCCGCCTGCATGCAAGTCTCGCTGCACTAGACCTGCAAGTTGCTTTCTTTCCCAGAAACCATATATCTCACCATTCCTCTAGTCATCGCGGAAACTACGAGAACGCATTGTCGATATACACGTCGCTCCCTGCCCACTACGCCCCTCATCTGTGGTCCTCTTTGGAGGGATATATGTTATCGAGGGCGCTCGATACCCATGCCGACTATCACCAAGAAAAGGATACAGAATGGATACATATTCTCCTGTCTTTCCTAAAGTCGTATATCGATAATCTGGGACTGGAGGTGTTGATACACCAAGAAAATCAGATAGAGTACATCTCAAACCTAGTGGAAAGCCTTCAGCAGGCAGCTTCAAACCTTGATGCAGGTAAATCAACCCTTTAAAAGAGCGCTCGCACTGCCTGATAGTCTATTTCAAGATATAGCACATCCGGATCATCCAGCGGTGTCGTTGAAGGTTTCCTCAAATGCGCGAATAGCGGAAACCAAAGATGGGTGTTTCTTGGACGCAGTAATACACAACCGTCTACCTTGTGTATGCCGTTCCTCTCGTTCGTTATGGTATATTTACTAAATGTTGAGGCAATTTCAGACACTTGCAGCAGACACATTCAATGTCGTTCTCTCAGCCAAAGACTCGGAACGCTGTACATTCTCTGCATCTATGGTTTCCTTACCACCTGGAAAAACAACGTTAAAACTATTCTGCCCTGTGAGATTTATTGAACACGCTTAGTCCACCGTTTTAATTTTTGTCATTCGCTCTACAAGGCCGTGGGGGCAGGAACTTTTCTACTCGATTCGAGTGAACTATCGATAGCGAAGCTTCACCTGCAATGGCAGCATCGAAGCCTTTCATCAAAGACACCTTTGATTCGCAAAGAAAACCCCGTCATTGTGCACATACCCAGAGATTTACTTGCGCTCGACGTCTCTATTAGCCAACCTAATAAAAGTAAGTCTTCCAGTTCAACTTGTGTCATGGTGTCAATGACGCAATGTTCGGTGCAGTTGAACTTGGTGAACCTCCAACGCTCCTCGTCACTGTTTCTACTGGGCGCAACCATGTTGTCAAGGCCAGCGTTAAGCTTGCAGCGTCGGGCGTAACATTCCTGCCAAAGGATGCACGTTATACTGGAGGTAATTTTTACACGTTTCTGCTGCCTTAGTTTCCAAGTTGGCTTAAAAGGCATAGGTAGGAGGTCCCGGCCTCTGCAGGTCCTTGACAACATCATCATTCTCGAGGAAATCTCTGAGCATTCGACCGTTTCATTCATAATACCCCACTCTGACGCCTCGGCTTTCCAAGCATTGGTACATTTTCATCCTTTCCGCTCTCAGTGTAATGTTGATGTGAGAGCAGAAAGTGACAGCAGAAGTTGAATATACCACTGTACCTGAACCTTCGCTGCGTAGGACGATACGAGCGACTCGAGTGGTCGTGACGGCTCTTCCAATGACCGTCAACGTCGAAGATTTCTTCCGTGGCTCTAGGTATATATGTTTCGACCTTTCCTTGCCTTTGTATGCTCAAATGTGTTATTCACAGACTCTTTTCCAAATTCACGATATCATCCACGAGCCATCAGCATGTGCGGATATGCGCCGCATCTTTGACGACTCAAGATGACCTCGACGGCGTCAAAATATCGGCAACTGCCACAAAAAATCGAGGAGTTGTTGTAAGTCAACACCTGGTCCTCGTCCGGAATAAATCCACTCAATTTCATTTTCTGATGAGACTGTTACCCCGGCACAACCTGTGAACTTTTTGTTCCATATTGACTCGAAGCATGGACCAGGTTCGCTCAGTTCTCTGGCAAATATGTCATACTGACAAGATCTCCAATCTCAGTACGAGAAACGCTGTGTCTGCTGATACGTTATCGCATGTTGCGAGAAGGTAAGACCATGTAACGTCTTTGTAGATGCGCCTTAATCACCATCTTGTACAGAGGTGGAAGGCGTTGTAGATAACATCGTTACACAAGTACTTGCAGATTCAACATCGCCACAACAACACCGCGCGACTCTCATCAACCAGCTGGTGGAGGCATTGGAAGGCGATGCAACATGGGTTGACCTTTACGGGATAACGGGGGAACTGAAGATTCCTGAGACGCCTAACAACCAAATGCAAGAGGAAACAGCGAAGCTACTGGACAAGGCAAAACAGGTTTGTCTCCATAGATCCCATAATCACCTCTGCCTGATTGTTCCATCCAGCTTCTCGTAAGTCACAGGCACCCTTATCCACCAGAAGGCAATTGGAGGGAGATCAGGATACCGGTCGACGTACCATACATGAACGTACGCAGAGCAAAAGCCACAACCTCTTCTTGCATTCTAATTTACCACTTCTCAGATCGTTGCTTCCGCCCGCATACATATCCTATCAACGCCTTTTAGTGACTTATCAGCGAACTCGGATTCTTTACCTCTTTATGCAGGGCAACCTTTGTCTGCGATGCTTTCAATTCATACTTCGTTCCATTGGGGTTCAAGTGCAGGAGACAAAGAACGTCGATATACGCTCAGATACGATGTAGAGGAGATGGTGCGCGACTGGTTATTGAGTGGACCAAAACGTGGCGACTTTGCTGCTGGTGTATGTCCTCCTTGTGCATTCTTGTAAACAAGTTGGTGATTGACCTCTCATAACAGGACGGGGAAACGAAATCTGTGCCTATTACGCTCATTGCGCTCCATCACGGAGAACTTGCATTGCCCAAAGTGTCAGTGAAGGCGTTGCCAGTCGCTGGCGAGCTGACCATGGGTTCGATGGGGGTACCGAGCATAGAAACGTTCCAGATACATGGAGCTGAGACAGTATTGGTGCTTCCACGGGGCGGTAGAAGTACATTTGTGATTGGTATGGGTTCAAATCCTCATTAGCAATGTATGTGTAGGTTAAGTACTAGGAAGTTTTGCAGGAGAATTCAGTACAAGCTGTAAGGTGGATTCCAGGTAAACGGATGAGCATGAAGGGGACTTTGGAAGACATGATAAATGGGAGCGTTGATGAAAAAGAACGTCACCTGAGCGATTCGAACACTCGCGGGCAAAGCCCAACCGCTTAGCAGGCGATCCCGTTAACCACTCCGGCAAAGTGACGATATAACCAGGACACCGTATAGGTAACTATAATGACAGTACGCTCTATAATGACAGTACGCTCGGGCGCATAGGCCATGATCGTTCTTCGCGACGTATAACTACGGTGTAACCGGGGAAGAAGAGGGTAAAAAGCGTCACCTGAGCGATTCGAACACTCCGTCACCTGAGCGATTCGAACACTCGCGCACAAAGTGCAACCGCTGAATGCTTGGTAGCAGGCGATCCCGTTAACCACTCCGGCAAAGTGACTATGATAACAAATGCTGTTATGGCTTTGATAAGTCTCAGTCTCGATCAATCAATACATTTGCGCCACGAACCTTGTACTCGAGCAACTTGGGTCATAAGAGCATCACAAAGTACGTGTAATGAGAATTGTACAGCGGTAACCCTTATGCTCGAATAATATACTAGAGACCTTTGGCGCGAAGAACTGAACATAGCGTCAAGTTGCATATTAAACTCTTAGCCAACTCTTAGCGTCCCAAAAGTCCCCCAAAAGCATCTTCCGGTGTATCCTCTGAGTCAAAAAAGCAGAAGAGAGAGAGATGGCCGTCACCTGAGTGATTCGAACACTCGCGAGCATAAGCCCAGAACGCACGAGGCGTAACCCATTAAGCCACTCTGGCAAGGTGACGGCGATCTTTGGCATTTATACATTGGCTTTGATGAGTCCAGCTCTGCAAGGAAAGTGGTTGGCGGGCGTGGGCGATCATGATGAAGTCAACTTGGGGACAGGGGTGGGAAAATGTACGTGAAAAATTGGAAAAAAATAACGTCACCTGAGCGATTCGAACACTCGCGGGCAAAGCCCAACCGCTTAGCAGGCGATCCCGTTAACCACTCCGGCAAAGTGACCTATAAATCATATTGATAATAAGCACATCAAGACCAGCATACAAAGCTTCCGCCATTCCGCATAAAGCAATGTAGATGAACATAATGGTTGAACATTATTCTATTTACTGTACATTCGTGTATCTAAGTATTCTATCTCAGCGTCTCTGTGAATAATTTCGTCAAGATTCGATACTTTTACTCCTGGGTAACGTTAACTGTAGCAGGAGCTTTTGATTCTTGCTCAATAAAGTGGCGCATGTACGCCACAAGCTGGTCGACCCACTCTTCAGTGACCGCATTATACAGCGATGCACGCATGCCTCCGACGGAGCTGCATAAGCGTAGGAGGTTAGAATTTTTATAAGAATGAAGGCAGCAAAAACAAAGCATACCGATGACCTTTCAGTCCCTTCAAGTCCCTCTCCTCCGCCCCCTGCAAAAATCTCTTCTCCGCTCCCTCGCCATTAACGCCAAAAGTAATGTTCATCCAACTTCCCTGTCCCTTCCTCACTTTTGGCTCAAACACTCCCTTCTCTTCACCCTCCCAAAGAACCTGATAAACCTTTTCCATCTTCCTCTTATTAAGCTCTTCATGATACTTTGTCCCTCCCAATTCCTCGTTCCTCCTCAAAACCAAACCCAGAACGTACACCGCAAATACACTGGGAGTGTTTGGCATACTTTCTTGTTTCGCGTAAGGGGTGTAGGTGAGAGAAGTTGGGATCGGATAACCACCGAACTTGAGTGAGGCGTCAACGTCGACTATACAGTCTTTACGAACGATAACGATGGAAGTTCCAGCTGGGCCCAAGTTCTTTTGGGCACCAGCGTAAATAATAGCGTGGTCCGCCAACCTGGGAATAGGACGGCTCATGAACGAGGAAGAATAGTCTCCTACGAGAGGTAGTAGTGGTTGGTCAGGTAGGAGATGGAATGGGAATGAGTTTGGGTCCTCTTTGGAATCGGGAGTGGAACTGAATTGGGTACCAGAGACGGTCTCATTCTCGCAGTAGTAGATGAGCACGGGATTAGAGGAGAACGTGTAGCTGGAGTGGGGAGGTAAACCGTCGAAAGATTTCCCATCTTTGGAATGTTGACGAGCATCAGCGGCGATGTTTACCGTCGTTCCATGTGCGAGACGTTGAGCTTCACCATAAGCGGCTTTAGACCACGATCCACTGAGGACATAATCCATGACCCTCTCATCTTCTTTTAGATTAGGATAGAGCAACCGATGTCTCGCCAGTAAATTCAAAACGACAGCAGAAAATTGTGCTGTTCCTCCTCCCTGCATGAACAAAACTTCATGAGTTGAAGGGATGTTCAACTGTGAGCGAACGAGGGAAGCGGTGGATGTGATGTATTCGTTGAATTCTTTGGAACGGTGAGAGATCTCGGCGATGCCGATACCTGTGTTGTTGAAGTTGAGAAGACCTTTGGCAGCTTCGTTCAAGACGGATTCGGGAAGGGCGGAGGGCCCAGCGCCAAAGTTGGCTACACGGTGGTCGGGCATGAGGATAGTGGTGAGTCGTAAAGCGGCCCTTTTTTTTCTATGTTGTGGGATAAAGGAGAAAAACAGTCATGAAGAGTCACAATCTAATCTTGACTCAGAAAATCTAAGCGTGAGCACGACTTGAGCACGACATTTGTCAAAGTATCAAATACAGACATTTTTACAGGATAAATTTCTCGATAATTGTACCGTAAGATCGGGAAAACCGATATACATAAAGTATGTAGGTAAGTAAAGTAATGGCAGTCCAAAGCAGTCCATAACTTGTAAAATTCGGTGATAAGGAACAAAGCAGGTACAATGAAACTTGATCGTAGATGTGAAAGCTGGCATGCGTATCGAACGAGCTGGGAGAAAGACGGAGACAGACAGCATTATGCTGAGTGAAAGGAGAAGCGGTGTTGAAAAAAAGGGCAGGATAAATGAAGGAGATATTAGTATACGTTTGTTTTTGGAACAAAGTAAAATACAGGACAGCGTAGATGGGACTTGGTTGAATAAGTAAGGATGATCGTGATATGATACTTGTGATGCGATGAGTTGACGAGAGATGAAAATATGCGGATGCAGATGATGTCGAAGGGCGTTGTTGTTGTTGATGATGATGCAAAAATAGGCAGCGGAACGACCGAAAAGAACTCGAAAGTCGAAAGATTTCGAACGAAAGAAATGGATTCATTCATTTGAGTCGAGGAGAGAGAAGATGGAAGAATGAAGGCTGAAGGGGACTGATAGAAGTACATGGATTACGAAGATTGTCGTGAGTTGTGGCGTCGTCGAGGTCGTCGTGGTTGTTACTTGGATCGAATTCACAAAGGACAGGCATAAGATTGTGAAAAATGACTTTGGAAGGAATAAAGCGAGATAATGGAGTTGTTGGACGAGAAGTTGGAGGGCGATTGGATGAAAAGGTTTCGCGTGGTGGAGGCGATTGGATGAGATCTGGAGCAGCAGAAGTAGCAGAAGCACGTTTACGACGTTTATCTGGGATTTGTGAGATATCAGCAATATCCCAGAGGTCGTTTGTGGCGGGAGAGTTGAGAGCGTCGACCCATGGTAGATCGTCGAAAGGATGGTGAGATCGTTGTTGTTGACGACGACGAGAGGCGTATGGTTTGGATTTGGGTCTGCGACTGCAGGGACTCGGAGGAGAGAGAATGGCAGGCATACTTGGGGAAAATAAAAAAATAAAAAAAAGCAGGGGTCTTATATCATAGTTGAGAGTCAAGAAGAAAGAAAGAAAAGAAACACAAACAACCCGTAATAGTAACCCTGTCACACCTGTCACTCCGAGTCACAAAGCATTTCCTTACGGCGTACCTTCCCATTGTCCTACTCTATCCGTCTTCCGACGTCTTGTCATATCTCCGTTCAATCCGTAAATACAAATTTACACACCCACGCACACCAGAGTCATAATAATTTTGTTTCATTGACTGATAAGTAACTGCTGTGGTTCTCTGCCAACGTCCATCATCCGTGGAACGTGGTTATCGATCATGATCACACCCCGTTATGTCCATAACCCCGTACACAACCAAAAAGGTAAAGTCTCCTCCCCTTGGACGATGGCCTTACCTACTTATTTCCTATTTCCTATCCCCCATTCCCAGTTTTATAAGAGACACTGCAAATGAAGTTCAAAATGAAATCAGAAATGACGTCCATGACATTCAACACGCGGAACGACCGGGCTCAGTGACAGCGTCCCAGAAAAAAATTCTTTGTTCCACTAAAACGGTAACTCTGCGACTGGTACTTACTTGTATCCAAGAAAACCCCGTTAGATCTCACCCCTGGCTGATGGTGATTGTTCCCCTCATGTTTTCGTTCCCGAAACATGCCGAATTCAAGGTCACTTATAATCAAACGACTCAGGAAGAGTCAGTAATAATAATCTCGCGGGTGTACTGGAAGTATGATACATCAATACCCAAGGTGTTGTTGATTGAATGACGCTGTGGCCACAGACTTCTCCTTGTGCTTACTTCGGACGTTGGACTCCAACTCTGTGGGCGCGCCTTCTGTGGCAACGTCGGCGGTACATGTACTTGTGCTCTTCGTGGCGACCTGCGTCTGCTTGTAATCGTGACACGCTACCATCTTTCCGTACCAAGTACACTAATCGCCATCACTGCCAACCATCGCCTCTCAGTCTTTTTGTTCGCCAGAGGGACTGCATGATCGGCTCGTTGGAATGACAGCGACGATCCCATCCAAACGCACGGTTCCGCCGTCTGCCCAACCACATGAGGTAACTGCGTCATGTCGTCGCATGCTGAGCTGTCTGCCAGAGGAACGTCAGTACTTTCCAATCCATCTACCGGCCAATGTACGGTCTTTTCAGCTCAACCAACTAGTAAACTGGTGGACATGCATATGACAGGGACGATCGCAGCCATTCCAGTACAACAATTCTCCGGGTCGCAAATGCGACTACTTCGCGATGATGGTCTCGATCTCTAACTCGGACTTGGACTCAGGCGAGACGAGGTAGCACACCAGGTGTTTCCAATTCCTTTTGCAACCTATGATAGGACTGGATGTCGATCTCGATGTCCTGCTTTCTGGCCTCTGAGCGCGCCACGTATTCACCAATCCATTATTAGTCTCCATTTTTTGGAGTCTTTGTCGTCTTATCGCCTGTCGCCACACGATCGTGGAAACAGCCGTATGTGACCCCATACACATGCCAACCCACTGGGTTGTGGAGGCACAGCCGAATCCAACTGGACGTCACAAAACATGTATAATGATGAGGCTGTTTCGACTCGGTTGCGGTTGTTACACCAGGTTAATTATGGGTTTACGCATCCGAGTCTCGTTCGATGACCAGATGGGGAATTTTGCGACTTCTGGGTGTTACTTAACTAAGCGCCCAGCGCGCCGACGCGTA